GAAAAGCCATTCGAAAAGCGCTCTGTGTGATCAATTTGTTGACCATGGCAGTCACGAGAGGCGAGAATGTACCCTTCCTCTCTCGATTTCACCTAGCCCGCGAAAGAAAAGGCACCATGATTGTCATGATTGGCATTGGAGTGACATGAACGGCGAAGCCCGCGGGTTTCTAGCCGGTGAGCGGTGCAAGCGTGCAAGAAGTGTGCAAGGGGTCTGGGGACCTTGGGAATTCTCAACCCTCGTGCCGGATCCTTTCGCACGCTTGCTTCGTTCGCTCGCTTTTATCACGAGCACTTGACTCGTAACTCGTCACAGGGGAAGTGAAGCCCTGGGGGAATACGAGATAGGAATCTATACTATACCTTTGAGTGGCGGTTATAAACCACTTTCAACCTTGTATCAGACCTTCAATCTACTGTTGGAAAAAGTTAGACACCTATACGAGAATTTGAGTGCGCTTTTACGAATGTGTTACCCGCGTCCCTATCCAGTTTAATCCATAGTCATTATTACTAGCAGAGCCCTCACGTGGCTGAACGAGTGGCCATAGAAACAAGAACTTCTTCTCTTAATCTTCAAATTCTGACAACTTACTAAGAATACAGTTAAAGTTACATTTTTCAGTTCCGTTTAGTTTAAGAGGTTATGTGAGACAGCAACTATCATTTGAGTGAAAAATTGTATTTCGTTTGACTCTTTTTTTGAACAGGTGGTGCGCATTCAAACCCAACAAACGGCCATTCAGGTGTGCGTAATGACTCAGTTTCGCATAGGAAAATCTTTTCAGTCAAGTTTATTCGGAGCGGGTTAGTGTGGCAGGAGGAATTTAAAGACAAGAACAGCAAGGAATTCAGCTAAATTTCAAAGCAGATAGAAAGAGAATTAAATAACCACAGCTCGTTTAAACAAAACCCCGAGATCCTCGCCTGGAATGTCTCGAGACTGGAGCCGGATGCGGACGAAAAAGAAGTCATCATTAACTTACGCGTGCGCACTACCCCGAACATGTCACATGACGAACTGACGAAAATAGTGTCAGCCAGTAACATGAACATCACCCTTTTTGATGAGAAGGAGTTACATCTTGCAACCACATCGATCTTGCCAGAGACAAACACGTCAATTTTGGCAACTTTGTCGGCTTCAGTCACTCCTCAGATCACATCGCAAACACTGGACGCGCCAACAGCACAGACAACATCATCGATGTCAACCACACCCCGATTGACCAAAACACGTTTTTCACTTGAGACGGCTTCAGCGAGTTCATTAATCAGCCCATCATTTTCCGAAATGTTGGTGACAAGCTCAGAGGCGAATGTAACAGAAGAAAGCCCTGCTGTAGATGACTCAACTGAGAGTGTCCCAACTGAAAGGTCACCAATTAAAACGCAACCAACAGTACCGAAAGATTCCGTCAAGTTTGTAGTCTCAATGAAAGTGGGCTCTTACAATTACACACCGGAAATGGCAAATCCAGAAAGCTCCGTTTTCAAGAAGGTAGCCAGAGAAGTAGAAAACATACTTTACGAAGAGTTATGCGTGACTGAGAACTTACTGGACTGCATCGCTGTTGAAGTGTTCAAGCTTGCGAAAGGCAGTGTGATTATATCGTATAACATCCATATGACCTCTTCGACCAAATACAAACAGTCGGACGTGAATGATGTCATCACTGAGTCGGCGAATGGTGGTCAGCTGGGACATTTAAAAGTGAGCGATGTAGAGGTGAAACAAAGAGAAAAAGTAGAAGAGGACGAGGAGGGCGATAATTCATCGTCGCGTGTATTCATTTACGTTCTCTGTGGAGTCGGTGCCTTACTGGTAATTGCCGTGATTATAACTGCCATTTCTAAGGTGAGAAAATACATAATATGTTGTTATCTAAATCAAAATGATAATATCATCCATGCCGCTGATTTCACATTATTTGACATCTGCTGAGGATACTTTACTTCCGGCATATATGATAACGCTATTATTTTCTTCCTGTTCTAGTACTCGAGCCGAAGAAAGAACCAAGTTCACGAGATTCCCTCCAATAATGACAACTCGAGCCGTTAATCATTTCACAATGCATCTTTTTCAAAATGTGATCAATGAATAAATGCAACCTTTTAATGAATTTTCCGGTTTTTTAGTTTGTTGTTGTAATTAAGACTGAACTATTTATATCGAAGTATAGTAAGACAAAAATCAAAGAGATTTGATTCTGTAGATACACAGTTAGGGTGAGGTGCTCTTAGTAGCAAACACAGAGGCAAAGAACCTGCCATTGTCAACTTAGTACACATTCTCCGGCAGGAGCATGACACTAAATTGCAGAATTCACAGACCCCGCAGTTGCTGATCAATCGACAAAGAAAAGAAATTTCTGCTGTCTTCGTTTTGAAGTTTATTGCCCGATGGTAACGACAATCACCGCTGCTCATTTCGTAACACTGCACATAAACAAATACTACACTACAACTTGCTTTCATCTTACGTAGCCGGTTGCTAGGAGGGAAGCTGGGCTGGGCCGGGTCGGGTCGGGTCGGGTCGGGTCGGGTCGGGTCTGGTCGGATCGGTACCGAGCCGATCCGTACGGACACGGACCCAAGCCTCCCTCTTCTTTCCCTCCTCCGCTGCTGTCGCGACGCACCTATCGCACGCACTTCGTTTTAACAACTTACGACACTGACATCTCCAACACTGTTGTTATTAACGGAGTGCAATTTTTTGTCATTTTCTTGGATGAAATTTTTATTACATACCTTTGAAGACCATGGGGTAGTTGATGTATATAGTAAGATTTCCTCTTCGTCAAGCCGCAATAAACAATAGCTGGATCTTGTCCAAAGATTCTTACATTTCTCAGAGAGATTTCATGGATAAAACTGATGAACAAAGCAACATAATGTATGTTGCACCGGTGTCATTCAGAAGAATAAAGTTACTACTCAATTCAACGCCTTCTCCCTTTACACCCTAACATTAGTATGCATTTCTCCATACTCTTCTCCATACATTTCCTGAGGTGCTGACAAGGAGAATTTGTTAAACAATCAAGAGCTTACTTAGTTGGTGATCGTTTCATTTATTCTCGTGACCTACATGTTTCATTCTGGAGTGAGATTGAAAGAAGAAATTAGGATGATGCTAGTCACTGGCCGGCTCAGGAGTTATTTGTTAATTTTCCAGCTAGCGTACAGTTTTGCTTGGGCGGCGTCAGTGTTTGAAAGGGGTTCGGTGTTTGATCAAGAAAATACGTTAACGGTGAAACAATTGTCCGCTCCTTCTAATATGGACTGACCTCAATGTTCATATCGGGTGTCAGATTCCAAGGATTTCATCGTGATTACGGGGCAATTCATGTTTTCTGCAGTTACACTTTGTGCGCGTTATTAACTAAGCGTGAGGTCAAGATGGCTGGATATTGGCCGAGTTCTTTTTTCGCATTTTTATGGAACGAGACTACGTCGAGGTCCTTACAAATGAGAAAAAGGATCGAGGCTAATATCCAGCCATCTTGATTGAACAAGATTGGTTAATAAAGGATTTATTACATTGCAAAAAGATTTCGCCATATCAAGAATTAAATATGACTTGTTTAGTTCGAGAGCCGAGAAAGAAAGCTATCTGTGTTTGTAGCTTATCATCCTGCCCGCTCAGATAGCCAATCATAACACAAGATTCGCTTCATCTTGCCCACGGGCGCTGCGAGCGATGTAATAAAGACTAGTATTTTCCGCGTTTGCTTTAGATTTCCTTTCTTACTGTTTGCGCACGATATGTTTTTTTACATGTTGGGTCTCCCTCGAGTTTAATGGAAATAAAACGCAAAGAACCTTGCATCAGTGTGTTTGGAGATGCTATAGACCCTAAACTGGTAATAGATGGTTTCCACAACGATGCGTATGAAAACGCAACAACCTTGATCATTACCTTTGCGATAAATAATTACAAGGACGAAAGCAAGCTGGCAGACGGTAATTACTTGGGAAAAGGCTTTCAAGAAGTTCGTGGCACATTATGTAAATAACGCCTCACATGCCAATTCACTATTTCATACTTTACGCCAGAAATGAGTTGTAATAACGTTGAGGTCCAGTTTGACTTAGGGGCTTAGTCTCAGTTTCACAAATTGTTATGATTGTTGCGCGGCAATTTTTTTTTTAAGAGAACGTGGGTCATAGTTATGAATTTCCGCGCGCCTTAGTGACGTAGCGTAATCCGTTGCTCTTCCTCGTTATGCGTTAACAAGCTTGTATTTTAAAGCGAACTCAGCGGCCCAGTGTAAGGCATGCGCATGGGATAAATTTTGAACGGCCGCGCGCCAATCAACTCCCGAGCAATGCTTTAAAGAAAAACATAGAAAAACAACCTATGTTTTGCAACTTGAGTGAATAAAATTGAGAAGTTCATAGAATCTGTAAAAGGAAACACAAGTAGGAAAAGGAAAATTCGAGACTTTTCGAACACAAAGCTCACTCAAATATGAGTCTTCTAAGGGGCCGATCATTCAAGGGGGGTGGGTGATTTCTGGTCATCAAGAATTTTTTTCTAGCAATCTGCTGTGCAGGATATTTTTTTTTCTGATTTTTTGGTACATTTTTTCTGTTACATTTTAGCTGCATGCAATTTTTTTCTACCAACAAGTGCTTGCAGGAAATTTTTTTCAAAATCATCAACCCCCCC